GTGAAGGGCCCTTGCTACTGCCCTCGAGGAGCTTACCTTTTAGTGGGGAAATAAACACATACATAATTTACTCTGCAGCACAGAGTGGACTCCTGACAGCACAGAAGGCAGAGCAGACTAACTGCTAACAAGTTCACAGAATGGATCTAAACCAAGGGCCCTTCACATGGTAGGCTCTCTTGCATACAACTATATATATCTCCCTATGTCAGGAAAACGTGTGAGGGAGATCACATGTCATCGTTACCGCATTCTGGGGTGGGTACTCCTACTTTACACTTTCATTTCACAGAGGAGGAAACTGAGAACAAGAGAAGAGCAGAGTGATTCACACAAGTCCTGTGCGAGGAGTCCAGATCCAAAGTACCTGTGTAAGCTCAGGTTCTCTGAGAAACAGAGATGAGACTGTGTTAAGTGAGCATGGGTTTTATTAGGAACAATGTCTGTAAAAAAGGAAAGAGGAGAGAATAGGGGAAGTCTAAACAAGCCATCGAAAGGCAATGCAAGTCTGATCCCACATGAAGGAGAGAAGGAGACTAGGTTGAGTGGAAGCGTCCTAGATGGCTGTGCAGTTTAAGGAGAGTCCTTGAGCCAAAGCTGGCCATAAAGGAAAGGACTCTTGTATTACCCAAGAAGGAGCCTCCTTGGTACTGCTCCCACACTTGGTCTTGTGGCTTGGGGAAAGACCCTGCCCTAGGCCAGTCCACTAGGGCCAAAAGAGAGGGTCATATTTGCAGGGGGGAGAAAAGGCTATTCCCACCATAATCACATAGAAGATAGGGTGCGGTGGTTTCCAGGAAAACAAACAAGAGGCTGGGCTGACCAACACTGTGTCCAGTCTACATACCTCTCATTTTTTTGTTAAAGAGGCGGCCACTCCATCAGGAACGCAAGTCTCTCAAAACGTGCACCTTGACCTCTGGTTTTAAAAGTCACATTCCAAAGTGCTGAGTAAAATCACATGGCACTCATTCTGCTGGCTCCCGGAGAGGAAAGGCTGACCTAACTCTCCTGAATTTGAGCTTGTGATTTCCCGAAGTAAAGAGATATCAAAGTTGATACTGAGACATCTAAATTGTCCTCCACGATTTCACATCTCCAGGCCGAGCCAGCAAAATAGCAAGTGCACATCCTTTTTTAACAGGTGAAGAGCTGATACCTGAGCCATCTTTTCAATCATCCACTGCTCTTTCTCCCCTATCCTCTATTTTTCCCTTTTTAGGAGAAGGTCAATGCTAAGTTAGGGCTTTATGCTGTATAATAGACTAATATTCCACACATAAGAGTATTTTCCAGCATTTTTTAGGGTGCCAGGCTTTTCTTAGAGTTCATGTCATATAATACTCAACTTGTCTGGAATAGGTAGAAGTGGAAACATGGTCTATCAGAAAATATCATTACTTCCTCTTTGAAATTTAAAAAAGCTTATTATCATCCTTCATTTAGATTCTGCCTCTCAGGCAAAAATCTCATAAAGATAGTCAAGGAGAAAAGAAGGGTTTAAATGCCCATGGGGTTAGCTTTTGCCCACTGAATCCTATGCTATTATTCTTTATCAATAACCTTGCAAATGGGGCTCAGCTCACACTTGTGGCTAGAAGGGCACCCACCCCCTAAACCAGCATCTACCACCATCTGGGATCAGGGGCAGCTCATGATATCATCAGCTACAGCTACTGGAGAGAGCTTGGGACCTTGAGGCACCAGACATTGTGTTACATCTTGGGGAGGCAGCAAATGTTAATGAAGATTATTATTATTGCCATTGTTATTAGTTCTCAGTGACCTTCTTAATCAAAAAGTTTGTGGATAACCGTCCTCTGAAATGCTAGGAGCTAGGATTAGAGCCAAGAGATAATAGGAGAATGTGAATGACCCCTTCAAGGCATGGTCACATAAACATCTATGTGTGGTAGACAATGTATAATAATGTATATTGCAAAATTAAACCCTTCTCAAACTCATTCCCTGCTGAGTTGGTCAACCCTTTCTTCAGAGAAATAAATTTCCTCAACCACCCCTGGTGAGCTAGAGAACGAACATTTAAAAAAAAAAAATCTTACCTTCTCTGGTGTCAATAGGAAACAATATTTACTCACTACTGTTTTCCTTTCAAAAATCTGTCTAGTTGCGTACTAGAAACAGCTTCAGCTGGTTTGTTTGTCTTGGACAAGCTGTTGAAATGAAAAGTTTTTGCTTGGCTGAATGTGGGACAGTTTCATAACCCTTCAAGAAGTGCACTGAAGGTGGGAGCCAGCTCTAATGGCTGCCTCTGACATGCCTCCACTTGCTGCCCATGGTCAAGGGTGGCCTGTGTAATTAAATTAAGACAATGAGCAAAGCAACAGATGCAACTGAGACCAAATCCCTGAGTGCTTTTGTTTTGTCACTGTCATTGTCTGCAACAAAGAAGTCACATGTGAGAGCCTGGGAAGAGAGCCAAATGCAAACCAGACAACATCCCAGATGGTTTTGAATGGCCTCCACCGAACGTGTGTGTGCTTGGGAACCATGCTACTTGGAGCAGAGTCGGCTTTCCTCAAGTGAGTTTCTGCTCATGGCTTTGTTGCGATGCCGACACAGGCCCAGAAGAAATAGGTCGGATCCCTCTGTCCAGACTTTACACTTTATACCTCAGCTTTGAGACAAAACGAAAAGCTTCTCCCTGTTGGGGAAAGGATAACATCTATGTGGTGGGCCAATCTAACCTCGGTTCTTTTTGCTGCAACATCACGAATGTGAAGAGTGAAGCATAGAAGATACCTGAATTTCTGCTTCTGCAATTCTGGGATTTAATTTGGCTTGAGAGGAAGATGAAAAATTAAACACCTCATGTGACTTTCTTTCAACTTATTATTATTTCATTCTTGACAATTTTCCTAGTTTGGGTATTTTCCACAGTCTTAGAAATATTTTTTTTCCTAAGTTGGTATGCCTCTTAAAGAGAAAATGGTAAAACTCAAATTAGCATATTTTTAGACTTGTTAATTTGGTCAGCAGTTTGGTAGAGAGGTAGTATCCTTACTGATAACTGTTTGGAGTTTTGATTGTCACATAACTAATGAGCAGGGTTTACTGAGAACCAAACAGAAATGTTTCAAGGCATTTAGGATGGCAGTGATCCTACTGTGTGGCCTCATATGTCTGTCTGTCATTCTTCTGAAGAACTCCTCTAAGAAAGTAAAATAAGATGTAAGATTAGGAATACAAATTTATTGGTAGTTTAAAGTAGATGCTTTATTTAGTAAGAAATACATACTAAGTGGTCTTAATAAAAGGTGTATGATATTTGGGGAAAGTGTCAGGATTTTAAACACATGGCATTTCAAACTATCCTATAAAAATGTCCAATTTCTTTCCACAAGCTTTTATTCAGTGGCCACTGAGCTAGATATTTTAATAAACATTTTTACACAACGATGCCATCTTCCTTCTATTTTGTCACTATAGGATATTGACCATCAACTTACAAAGTACTAACTGGCTTTTATAAAGGACTGGGTGATAACTCCAATGTTCCAGGTAGAGTTGAAAAGTATGTGTAAGAAAAATGACCAAATCCCTATGCACCTTAGCCCAGGGATTAGTAGTTGATTCTACCTCAGCTTCTCATCTTCTCCAGGTGTCATGTCCAAGTGAACTTAAATGTCCCTCACGATGGTCTCTAAGCTCCTAACAATGATTGGGTGAGTGGTGATTACCTTAGCCAGAAGGAAGAATTTGGAGATTGCAGCCACCATGGAAAGAACTGTTGCTTTTGGTCCTGATGGAAACCTGTTCTCAGATAAAAAGCCACTGGGATCTTTAAATCCTCCTCTGTACCAACAATTACCTGTTACATTCTCCTAGAAGGGCCTCCTGGCTACAGGTGGAACCAGAAGAAGAAGCACCTAATGTTTATGCATGCAAATGCCACTTCCTCCTGGGTGTTATTTCACATCTTATATAGCTAAATAAACTTTGCTGTTTAAATATATTTGAGTATAAAATAACTATAGGAAAAGTATAATAACTTGATTACAAAAGACTCATTTATTCATACATTTAATTCTTTCTACAACTATGTATTGAGCACCTGCAAAATCCTGAGCACTATTCTAAACATGGACTGTAACAGTGAACAAAGAGCCAAGTCTCTACTCTCATAGGGCTTCTGTTCTAAGCTAAATGCAATATTCCTTGGATGAAAGCATTGCTTGTTGATGAGTGAATGGCAGCACCAAAGCAAGGAACGCTGGAATTTTAGTCCAGGCATGGTCACTTTCCAATTAAAATGGAATCCTGATAATGAAAAGAGTAAGATGGATGATGATGATGATGATGATGATGATGATGAGGGAAATAATAATACTTACGTAGTGCTTAATACTTTGTAAGTACCATGTACCAGACATATTATAAGTGCTTTTATGTACTAATACTTTAATCCTTAATCCTACAAGGTAAAAACTATGTATGCCTGTGATCTCACAGACTCTAAATCAATTACATATTTTCCCAATCTTCTACTTCTAAAACTCTGTCTTTCTCCAAAGGGCAAAAAGGAAGACATAAAAAAGAAATATCCTTTTTTTTTTACAAGAATTAAAACAGAACAAAACTCAATAAAACAACAGATGATAACCCCAAAGTATGACTTTTTTTTTTTTCCTCGCTAGGAAAAGATGCTACGAGCCAGGAGACTGAATTTTTCAGGATTTCCTTTTTATCCATAAATCTGTGATAGCAGCAGATGAATAGAAACACATGTTTGCATGGTTATAAAGCAAACTGCGGTCCCCATGCCCCCAGGGGTACATAGAAGTAGCTTGAGTGAGATTTAGCAAAAAGCCTATTTACTTAAATATGCCTTCCTCAGAAAAACCTGGCCTAAGCTCTCTATTAGGTTGACTGGTAAGGCATGAGATAGAAAATGTTGAGACTGAATGTTAGAAGTAGATGATGAGTAAGGTACATAAAACTTCCCCAAGTTAATGTCACTTTTTCTCTCTCATTTTTAGGAAGTACATTTGAAGAACGCAAGTAGAGGGAATGCAGGAAATAAGAATTACAGAATGTAGGAAGATCTTCCTGAAGAGTGAAGAATGACATGCCACCGGCAGGGTCCTTTGCTGTGCATGAGTTACCTGTTAAACACCAGAAGACCTACCAAAAAAATAAGTTTGATAACATTTCAAAAGATGGGCATTCCCCCAATGAAATACACAAGTAAACATTTCAAGCATTGTCTTTAGGAGTGATTGTTAAAAGCTTTGCACCTTGCAAAAAAAATGGTCCTGGAGTTGGTAGATTGCTGTTGATCCTTTATCAATAATGTTCTATAAAGAAAAAAATATATATCTATATATATATATCTTAGTCCCTGCCTCTCAAGAGCCACAAATGCATGGGTGTTGTCTAGATCCAGTTGCACTAAATTTGTCTCTGAATCTTGGCTGCTGGAGCCATTCATTCAGCAGTCTTGTCTAAGTGGTTTATTAATTTTTTTATTTGCACTTCTTTCTACACAACACAGGTTGTTTGTTTTACAGTGTCTGATGACCTTGTTTGTCTCTCTCCACCTGCCCCCTCCTCCATCACCATCACATTTGCCGAATTTGGCCTCCGCCATAGCAGCAGCAAGCAGTCAAGTGGCATACTGATTTTTAACCCACGAGATTCTATCTGTGGCATTTATACCAAATATAAGTTGGACGCATTTATTTTAGACACAAAGCTTTATTTTTCCACATCTTGCTTAAAAAATGCAAATAGTTGCAATTTTGAGGCCAAACATTTTTAAGTGTATGTGTTAAGCATAGAAAGTCTCAAACTCTCAACAATTCCTTCAAATGATGAGTTAGTGTGCGACCTAATTAGCAACTTCTCCCTTTTAATTTTTTCCATATAGAGCACTATGTAAATTTCACATATCAACAATACAGGATATATCAAACAGTATGTAAAACTCTCTTTTTTAGTACAATGGTGCTATTTTGTAGTTTGTTATAGGAAAGAATCTGGCCAAAACGGTAAAAGGTGAAAGCAAAACAAAAGAAGATGCCTGGAGCCAAAGATGACACAGAGGGGAAGGGTACTAATAATCCATCCACCTGGGAAAGAAGGCAAAGTACCCCCGATTATGCCTTCCAAGAGAAACTTAGCACGCAAAGTCCACCGATGCAAATGTGTTTGGCGAGTCCAGCGAGGGGTGAGAGAAGCAGAAGGCCATGGGGTTTAACAGTCCTGGTTTCTTTTCCTCACTGAAGAACAAGCATCCACCGACTCGGCCATGGACTCACCACTTTGTGACCTTGGGCAAGTCACTTCACCTCTCTGTGCCTCAGTTTCCTCATCTGCAAAATGGGGCAATACGTCATCTACCTACCTCACAGGGGTGGTATGAGGATTAAAAAGATAAAGCTCCAGATTATTATCCTGGGTTGCTGTGAAGGTGCAAAGTCAGAGCCCTTGAGTTGCTGGGATGCAAGGAATTCTATAAACAACCCATTTAGAGCATAGCTAGAAAATTGATGAGCCAAATATTCCTGACATGTCAATTCTTGTCAATAAACCTATCCAATTATGTATACAGCTAGCTAGCTGTGAAGAGCTGGCAGCTTGACCTCTTTTAAAACATTTTCAAAATAAGTTAGAAACATTTGATTAACAACTTGATTTTGAATTCTGCATTTGGGTTCATAAATACAAAATGAAAAGAAAGGAAAATAAAAAAGGAGAAAAACAGAAAAGATTTCTACCAGCAAAAGGGTGATTACTCAATATGTTAATACTCACTGACTATTCTAAGCAGTTACTAAAAATCTAGTAATACTTCTTTTAATATTACAAATGATACCCAGTTCATTTTTAAAAACACAGGTATTCATCCTTTAGGCAATATTAAAAATGGTCCAAGATTTCAACTATTGAAATAATACCTAATAAAAAATTATAATTCCTTTCTTTAATAAATTTTGCTTTTATCCTTGGTCATATGTATATTTATACACACATATATTTTTTTTAAATTTTTGTTAAAATATGCTTGACTAGAGTTGCTAGTTGAGAGGCAAAAATCTCCTCCACAAGTAGAAATTTTCCCTCATGTCTACTTAGAAGAATGGCCCCTAGACCTCCATAGATCTATCTTATCCATTCAACTAAAAAGTGGTATCAAGAAAATCCAATGGCAAGAAGAAGCCCATAAGGACCTAAAAAAATATTTCCTGTCTATGCACCAAGATTTTCTTATTAGAACAATGAATCACTCATCATTCGGATCTTTTGTCTGCCCTATAACTTTTTGGTGAGAAGCAACCAGGTCTGATTATTTTATGAATATTGTAACCCTTTTATTCTTGGAAAAAAATATTCTTGGAAAATAAAAATAACATCTTTAGTTTTCATCCCACTGGTTCACCTCAAGGTTCAGAGGCCAGAAATAAAAATATATACATACATACCTTCCTTCTTTCCTGGATTTCAGAACATATACAAAAAGAAGGCCTATTTAGGGGTGCCCCTGCTCAGCCAACAAGTATTTTAACCCTAAGTCCACAGTGTTATTTGAATTGAGTATCTCCGGCATGCTCAGCAATGTTCTGATCACTATGCGCAGATGTAAAAAAAACTATAAGTCACTTTTGCCCTTCATCTGTTTTCCAGACATATGGGTTCTGTGGAGTGAGGTGCCAGATCTCTCTTCCCAAAATGGCACTTCTAATTTTTATTTTTTGTCCCTAGAGTGTATCTTTTTAAATTACTGACTCCCAGCAACACTTTACATGCAATCTTCTACCAACCTACAGGTACCCAGATCTAGCTGGAATCCTAAGGTAATCCTAAGATTGTCTATGACTTACTTGATTCACTTAATAATTCTATTCACAGCCCAAATGCTCTATTGAGGGAAACTTAAATATGCAAAGACATCATCTTTCTTAACTTTTCACTACACATAATTTTCTCCAACTCTATTATGTCACCTAATTAAAGATTAACTGATTATTACACTAACCTACTATCTTATTTTCAAATGAATTAAAACTAGAAAGCAATTTGTTGTAAACTCCAAAAGTCAGCTGGTCACCTTATACTATAGCAGAATGACCCAGGATTGACAGAAAGGGAGCAACTAAAATTTGACAACTGAAAACTTTATAAGCTTTGCTCTGGAATTTTTAAGTGAGGCAATTTCAAGATCTGTATGAAACAGCCATAAATATTAGCAAGAATTAGGGTTCAACTTATAGGCTTACTTCTCATTTAAATGACAATACAGAGTACCTAGCTCAAATTTTTTTCCCATTTCCCTGAATAGCATCCTATTTGGGGAAATGGGAACAAAATATTTCCTATTGTTGTTAAGTATGCTTGTTTAAACATTTTAATATGAGGAGGCTCCATTGAAAAAGCTAATGCATCTTTCCATCAAAATCCAGTCTTCTAGAGCTAGAGGAAAACTCTCCCAACATATCACACACACACACACAGTCCAATGCAATACTAAGAGAAAAAAAAAAAATCACTTCCTTGAAAAATCTTATTTAAAAAAAGAAGCCTGGCCTCCCTGAGAATCCTTCCCCTCCTGGGAATGTCAGTGTTTGTGTAGATGAAAGCATCTCATGCACTGTGGCTCCAGGGTTTCTGTTACTAGTTTATGCGCTTGGGAGGATGATTACAATGGAAGATGTAACACAATTTTGCTTTCCCATTTATTGTTTGGCCAGCAATGCCAATGTGGTGCTATTGTTTCTTTAAGAAAGTACTTGACTAAAAAAAAAAAAGGAAAAAAAGAAAAAAAAGAAAGCATAGACATATTTTTTTAAAGTATAAAAACAACAATTCTATAGCTAGATGGCTTAATAAGGCAGCATTAGGTCTAGTCACCACCACCTTTCAACTTTTTATCACTCACAAGTAGTGGACTGTTTACCAAATTGTGAGTTTGGGGGTGTAGGGGCAGAAGATGGAAGTTTTTTAGAATCAGAAGTCTCCATTATTTTGTTGGCTCTCAAACTCAGCAAAATCAGCACTAAGTTACCCAATCTGAACACCTTGATCAGAACATGGAATATAAATGGGGGAAAAATACTGTATCGGCAAATGGCAGAACTAAAAGGATGATTAAGTTACCTATTGATTTTTTCTTTTTCTTTTTTTTTTTTTTTTTTTTTTGTGCTCTGTGCTCTAAAACAGATATTCAGTAAGTGGAGAAAATAAAAACAGAGAGAAAAAATGCATAGATTCACCTGCTAAAAATAGCTTCTGCCACATCTTCCTTGAGTAAATCTTTGGCATTTATTGGTTTATAAAAGATATCCTCCCTTCATCTAAACATCTCAAAGAGCAATAGCTCCCATTAAAAACTATCACTAATCTCATCGGGAAATGTTGGAAAGTGTTTCCTTATGAGATGGGGGTTATCTACTGTTAAGGAAAGAGAAGAATTTATGAGAAATTGTTGAAAGAGATGGCTAACAATCTGTGAAGATTTTTTTTTTGTTTTTGATTTTTACTTTATACAGTCTTTATGAATCTCTTAATGTTCAAAAATGACTTGGTTCTTTCTTCTTTTTTCATATTGCAATGAGGGATGATAAGTTAAACTCACATAGACTCTTCAAAAGTATAGGCTAGATAGAAATGTATGTTTGACTTGTTGAAACTATAATCAGACTATTTAAAATGTTTTTGCTATTTTTAATCTTAAAAGATTGTACTAATTTATTAGACACAGATCCTGTTGGGCTTTCTTCATGAGAAAGAACCTTCCCACCCAAATCATGTGGGCTTTCCCAGCAATGTTTTCAAAAGATAAATCTGACTTATGCATCATTTACTTTAAATTTTTTTAAATTTTAAATAGAAAAATTGTGATTCTTTATACCCCTCTCCTGCAATGATCATAAAGTCCAGAATCTGAGGGGGCAAGAACAAGAAGAAAATTTTGTTGGTTCTTTGTTTCTGGTTTGTTTGTTTGTTTGTTTGTTTTCAATGCTAGTGTTTAATCCTATAATACATATTTGCTTATTGACATTTTAATATTCTAAGAGACTTTTCTGTTAGGTATTAGAAACTGATGCATAGATATCCTTTTTGTATGATTTCTATTTTTTAAAAAAGGGAGATGAGAAGACTGTCTGAAGCTTTAAGTGCGTATGGTACAAGATAAAGATATCAATTTAAATAGCCAAATCCTATGGGAAACAATACTTCTTTTAGGGAACCTCTCATAGATAAGACAGAGGCCCAGGGAATTTTTGAAACTGTCTTTATTCCTCCCAGTCCTTATTCGTTTAGTATCAGCCTCAACATTTTACAGAGGACAGACTAAGCTGACCCTAGAATTAAAGGGACTTCTTTAAAAATATACAGTTTACATGCTGCCCCGTAATTTATGATTACACAATGATTTTAAACATGGTCCTTCCTTTTCCATTTTTCAGCTGTCATCGATAAGGTCTTTCAAGGAGAAAAAAAAATATTTTTGAAATTAAAAAAAAAGTCCAAATATCACTGCCCATTTGAAATATGAGTTAACATGGAGGACATAGAGTTCCTTTTACTTAACCCCTGTGGAATCACCTTCAAAATGACCTTTCACGATCCTGAGAATCTGCCCTTTTCTTAATTGCCCAGGCTAACTCTATCCTAAAAATAAACATTATTCACTTTCTTTTGCCCAAAATGCACTGGTGTAAAAGTAGGAAAAATGAAAACAGGACTCACAAATCCCTTCCAAGCCACCCACTGGCTCCACTCACTCACCCATGGCAAAACCACTTCTGTTAATCCCTTAATCTGATTTTGTTTAGATATTTATCTTGTACCTGCTGCTATACACACTGCAGGAGGAACTCTGAAACCTCAAGCTGTCTACTCACATCTCTTATCTGTGTCTGTGTATCATTAATATGTCTATTCAAAATAGCAAAACCTTTCAAACATCATGCAGCTTATATTCAGTTTACATAAGGGCCCCAAATACCATGTCATATCTCTTTTTGCTAAGAGGGTTAATAAACTATGACAAATGGGATTACATCACGTGTTTTGCTTCATATGCTCTTATCACACTTATAGACTAAAAGTGATAAATAAACTTACAGACACTGAATTAATTTACCCTGCTACTTTGGAACCAGAAAATAATGATTGGTCATTCATTATGTCTTAGTTCAAAATCATATTTTTTATTAAATTAACTCTGATTGTATTTGAAATTATTATTCATTTATGGCAGAGGAATATCAATCGTAATGACTTCTAAAAATGTAACTAACTGAATCATTATCTTACATTTACTGTTTAATAAGCATATTTTGAAAATGTATGGCTAGAGTGTCATAATAAAATTATATATCTTTCTTTAGTAATTACATTAAAATTAATCATGTTTGATTAATTAGTTCTTTTGGACAATGTTGGTGTAATGTGTCATTCCTGGAGAATTTTACTGTTATATAGCATTTTTATTAATTAAAGTCATTGCAACAAATAAACATGAAAACTTACCCAGAAAAATAAAACTAATCATATACCAGAATGGAGATATCTTATAGAATTTACAGATTATATGTAAAAACAAATATGTTTCAAAGAACTTGTACAAACTATATGAGCTGCATGAATTGTAAAATATCTTCATTAACAATAAAGCAGGTTTAAGTAACTGACCCCATTCCCATAACCCGATAGTGAGTTACAACCCATGGCACAAAGCATTTGGGAAAAGATTTTCTATTATATACATGGTACATGTAATATACAGGTAGCATTTAATACATTCCCATGTTGAGAGATTTTATAAGAATGTGATCTCTCAGCATCGGGTTTTTGTTTCAATAAATCTAATTCTTTACTGAATAGGTACTGGGAATATCGAACTCGCAGCAGCATTAGTGGAAGACAACATGGAAAGATTAGCAATTTCCTTTTTGTTTAAAAGCATCTCATTTCAGTTTCTTTTTCTTAAATCCTCTGCGAGCTTTTTGTAAAATAAAGGCTTACAAACTTTGTGCTTGATTTTAGGGAACTAACAATAATACTGAAGTTTTCTTATTTTCTCTCTGCAGCTCACCATCACCACCAACTTCATTTCCGTAGTTTCCAGAGCTCTCCCCAGGACTAACATTCTTGAGCCATCTCATCCTCTCTGTGCTCAGCATCTTGCCTCCCACGGCCATGCGCTTCCAAATGCATGGCTTCTCCTCACCCTTCATATTGTCTGCCCTGGGCTGTACTTTCCTCCCTTCCCTTTTTGTCCATCCACACTAAGCTAGTCAGGGTACAGCCTTTCGTTGACGGTTTTGTGGATGACAAAGTGGGAAGGCAGATTAAGTACAGGGCGCAAAATGGCTGCCAGTGCCAAAACATCACTGTTACTAAATTCTGTGACGGAATTTCTGGCTGCTCATTTGCCTCCTGTCATCTTCGTAAGACCCCTCGCCCTCTTCTGCAAACTTTCCCAGGAATCACTTTCTATCCAACTCTTCATCCTCTCCCTTATCATGAACTTGCAAGAAGGTTCTATTACCTTCTTTTGCAGAAAAATCTTTCCCCACCACAGCTTCACCTGGCCGCGGGGGTGGGAGCAGGAGCCCCACTCACCTTTTAATACTGAATATGGCAGAAAGATGTTTTTTCCCTAAACAAATGAGCAATTCTGTCCCTAAGAGGAATTCTGTCTTCCTTCAAGGTCATCTAGGTCAAAACACAGCCTCATTTTTAAAGGACATTATTTTTTTCCCTGTAAGATCTGTATGAATGATAATTGCCACCACACACCAACAGTAATGATGGTTAACAGCTGCCAACAGCTTACTATGGATCTGTCACTATGCCAAGTGGCTTATCTACATTATCCCATTAGTCCTTATAGAAATTCTATGTGTCGGGCACTATCATGAACCCAATTTTATAGGCTAGGTGATAGAGGCCCCAAGACATAACTTACTGAAGGTCACAAACAGTCGAGGCAGGCTGGAATCTGGGTCTGAGGTCATCTAAACCTGCATTTTTACTATCTAGACGTAAGGACAGTTCCATATACTGACTAATACATTTTTGTTCAAATTCGGTTTTACACACTACAGGCATATTTATAGCCAATTGCACCTTTGAGTGATAAGCAATTTTTTAATATGATAGTATTAAGATAAATAAGCATTTCTGCTCTATAACCAATGTATCTAACTAGGTTTTTAACCTTAGCCACTGCCACTCATTGCCCCTCAGGTTTTGTGTGTGACGTCCAAAGGTAAACCAATCTCGGGATTCCTCAGTGAGAAAGGGCATGTCTTAGGCCTTTATACAGCCCAGAAATAAACCATTTCCACATAAAGAAAACTAGAAGCTTATCATAAAGAATCTTACCAAAAGCCCCGGCAACTACACACCAATACACAGTCTCAAGGGACACCGTGGAATCAGGGCTTCCAACGACCAAACCGTGAACTTATGGAGTGAGTTTCATGAGACCCATATTCCTATATCCCTGCCCTTCGATAAGGCCTTAGTCATCCCACCCTCGGGCTCCCAGTGGGTACAGTGCTATCCCCAAGTGGCATTTTGGAAAGGTTCAGGGACATTTGGGGCTGTCACAATGATTGAGGAGGGCATTATTGGTATTCATTGAGGGGGCATTTCATGCACATTACAAACCATTTATAATCACCTGGGCCTAGAATATAACTCCAATTTATTTATAAGCTCAAAAGTATTTTTTCATGATTTTAATAGAAGCTGGATTTTCCAGGAATAAAATTGCCATGTGAAATCAAGGGGAAGGAGGTACTTTATTTCATTTGGAACTTTACCAAGTATTGTCCGCTGTTTTGGAAAAAAAGTCACGGAGGGCAATGTTAGTTGGCTGTTTGAATCTCTCCACTCCCGACCTGCATCTTTCCACCAAAAGCTGTCACCTCCAGGGTCTCCACGGAGGGACTAACGCCTGCCCGCCTCATCTCGTTCTCAAGTACAGTTGTGCCAGAGCATTTCTGTCTTGTAATGCGGCTTATTTTATTATACATAGTTTTCATTTTAGTTCTCCCTGATATTACAGATCAGGCCTCATTTTGAGTTTTGTTGAAATGTTTATGTCAGTGTTATCTATGAATTTCACTTTAGGACATTAAAGGGTGTATCATAAAATACTCATTATAAAAGGGGAGCTTTGTGTCTGCTGGGGCTGAGCCACTGGGCTGTATACACACCAACTGCGATCCTCCCTGGGCCCTAACAACAGACGGAGGGCAGAGCTCCTGCCCCCCTCGCCAGTGAGGCATCTTAAAGTGAGAAGTTGAGCTGAAAGCTGGTGTCTTTCTCACCTTGTTTATGAATCGAGATTAAACCTCCTTGGGATCCAATAAAGGATAACGGTTATGGTTAATACAACATCTGGTTTCTAAATGTTCTTTCCTTCACCCTGCGATGGGATGAGATGATTTTGAAAAGAATAAAGCAATCACTAAAAACAAAAACAGATGTAAATTGGATTGGAGACAATTGCAGCAGTACATCAGAAGTAAAATTCGACCTTAGATTTCAAGCGAGGTAGGAAATGTGGCGGCCTTAAAAGGGAGGTTTCTCTTTTTAATAGTTTACTACCAGGAAAGTAAAGCATTGAGCAACTGGCCTGTGATTTCCCAATGCCACTTTGCTTCTTTAACTCAGTGGCTCCTGCTTAGCCCTCCACCTTCTCCAGAGAGAACAGTGGGGGGAATCGCCCTCCAAACGAAAACTGAGGGGTGAGGGGGCCGAGGTCTCTGCTGATGGCTCTCCTCCATATGAGTGCTGGGCTGACCCCTCACTTCACCTCACACACGTGGGACTCCCTCTCCCACCCCGAATCTCTCCATCGTGTGAAAAAGAGAGGGAAAGGAAGAGACAGAGACCGTTCCTAGGGAAACAACTCGAACAGGACTGATACCCAGGATCTGTCCCCCTGATTTGGCCAACAGCTTCTAATTCGGCCACCCTCATAGAACCGAAAGCACTCAGAGGTAGAGTTATGCACCCAAAGACCAATTTCTCTCCTTATTTATTCTGTCTCTGTCTGCTTAAAAAGTCATTTGGAAATGAAAACATTTTGATCGTTCCCCTGCCCCAGCCAAATGATTGAAAAGTCTCTTCTGGTACCTAGCACCCTCTGCCGCCGTAGCGAAAGGTACAGTGAAGTAATGCCATCCTTATTTCTGCTGCAATGGACTAGTTGATCTGTTTGCTCTCATATCTATTTCCCAGCATTCCTTCACTGCTCTATTTCACAAGCAACTACATTCCCCAGCCCCTGCGTTCTCTGCTTCCTGGGTTGGTTTCGCTAATAGGCACTAACAAAGATGAGTGCAGGAGGAAGCAAGAAGCTAGGGTATTTCCACCCCTTTCTCTCTCTGCCCCAAGTGACATCCTTGGCAGTAATCGCAGTTCCTCCCTCGATGGCCCCTTCCCCCCACCCATGTGGGCAGCACCCTGTCCCCCATCCCTCCGGATGGTTTTTCTCTGATGGGAACACCACCTCCCCTCTGTGTCCCGCTATGCCTAGGGATGGTAGTGACTTCCGGACGTTGTTCATCACTGGGTTAAGTCCCCTCTCTTATTTGTATACTCATCCCTTCCATCACCTGTATTAAATACCCTGTTGAAAATACCTAGGATGATATCTGCTCCCCAACTGGGCCCTAACTAATAATATCCACAAGAATAACAACGGTAAGAAGCATGAGTGAGATCAAGCAGACACGGGTCTGTGCTGTGGTTCTGACACTTGCAGCTGGGTACGTGAACAAATCAAAACAACTTCTGTGTGAGGCTCAGTCTCCTTTTCTGTAAAATTGCAGCAATAATAATAATATCATATACCTCATATCGGTATTTGAAGATTAAACATTATCATACAATATTTCCTAAATTTCTAGATTTCTCAAAATAGTGATATTTACAATAATAAAAGTAGAAATTGCAAGACATTGACGTAAGTTGGCCAAATCTTTAGTTGGCTGAAGTAAGGACATTTTTAAAAAGTCGATCATCACCTTTATGTCACCACAAGGGAAATCATTCCATAGCATGGCTATATCTCAAAATAAAGGGCAGTTTCTTAAATTTAATAAATTGCTCAATGAAAACTGATCACATTGGTTGAATCTATTCTTTTCACCTTTTGAGCTTCTCCATGACTAGATGCAAACACAGTCCAGCACTGGTCTGCTGATTAGCTCTTATTCAGTGTGGCCTCTTACATTTGTATGATTACTTTTGTTATCACTACTTGTATTGTTATTATTAGAAAAGCGTGTATTCATGAAGGACCTAAGAAACCCAAAGGTAGCATCCTCTCGATTGGTTTTGTCACACCCTGTTCTATGTACATTGAT